TTTTTTTTTTTCTTTAAAAAAAAAAAGTCAGAAGCTAAGCTACAGTTGTTACAACCATAAGCTGCAAAATATGCAGTCTGACAACTGCATATGCCCTCTTACCTGCAGGAAGGCACTTGGATTTTCCTCTTATGTATTCTGTCTCTAATGAACCACATTGAGGGAATAAAGGATTAACAAGCTATTAGGACCAAGTGCTTCAAAAAAACCAACCATCAGAAATAAACTGCAAGAGAACGTATCATGGAAAATAACACAACCAGTTAGATTGGAATGTCAGATTAATTTTATGCCCATTATATGACTGACTGAAAAATCTTGAGGGACCGCCGCAGCTTGATTAGCTTCCCCCACAGACTCTCCCCACAGACAGACACTCACAAAGGACAACAACAACAGAAAAATGCAAGTTTGCTGACACAGGCAATCTAAAGGCAGTACTTCTGATGTGCCCCATGTGTCTGACATATTGCACAGGTGCAATTAGTCTGTGTGTATGGAACAAATCTGAAACTCCTAAATATGTGGGGGTCACTGTTCATACACATTACAGTAGCAAATTGTCCAGGCTTTCTAAATATCCTGAGGTACTTGGCAGCTTTATCTTTTTCCTATAACCAGTGACAATGTCAGACTTGATACATGGCACTTGGACCAGGAAATGAAGATAACAACAGCTACCAAATCAGTTTTTAGGGAGCTGGTAAAGCAATTAAATAAAACACAGAAACTTCTCATGTGGGACCTGCTCTTTAAAACATTCCCCCCTCCTTTGGGGAAATGGAAGTGGAGATGGTATACGGGTACCTTTAAATGTACCCGTGTCCTCTTCATTTGAGAGACGTTGAAGCCAGAGGCCTTGCTGCAGCTCTCTCTCCCAAGGGCAATACTCCCCCTCTACAGCAGAGGGAACCACACATCCATATATAACACCAGACACGCGTGTACACACACAAGCAATGGAGAGAGAAAGAGAGAAAGGACAGAATCAGAAAGAGAGACTGTCTGGAAATCCAGCACTCCTGCATGTACTCCCGCTGTATTCAAAGTGTCTGACAGGAAAACTGCTTGAATGAAACAACATCCATCCCAGAACACCATGGCTTAGCAGACTAAAACACACAATATGCATGTTACCATACTTAAAAAGCAGTCTTGACTTCCACAGACTTCAGTTAAGGAGATACAGCTCCTACGTTGAAAAAGTAGCCAAGCAGCCTGCTGAGCTCATCAACAAAACTGCCATTAAGACTCAAAAAACTGGACCTCTGCTTGCATTAGGCAGCCAAAGACCTTTACGAAGAAGCTCTTTGGAGTCTATTAGTCTTCACAAAAAGGAAATGTGAGTACAAAGACAATGACAAGATCAGCAAGAAATTTGGCATGGTGGTGAAACACCGAAGACGTCTATTCTTAGCACAAACTTTTGCGTTTTGACGACTGAGACAAACATGGGGGAAGGAGTCTTTCCCTAAGATTTTCCATGGAAATCCCTCAGAGTTAAAATGGCAACCACCTGAACTCCCTGGTTTTGCAAGGCCATCTTTTAACTAAGGAGAGCTACAAGCAGCTGCTTCTCGGATGCCCTGATGACAGTTACAGGGCACTACCCCTTAGTGAGGCACTCTGCAAAACTGAAAACACTGCCTCCACAATGCTTCCAGCTCTTGCTGCCAAAGAACAAAGGGCACATTCAAGTCTGATTCCCAATAATAATGAAAAACCAACAATAAAACAATACAGTGTCACAAAGCTGTGAATTGCACATGTTGGTATAGTGTATAGGAAGCATATTTGTGTTGGTATTAGTGTTGTAACTGCCCTGTGGGCAAAGATTTCTGTATCCAGAATGATCCACCTAAAGCTTTCCTTGACAAGAACTCCCTCAAAAATCAAAGCAATAAAGAAGTGAAAGAAGAAGGAAAGTTTTCCAAGGCAAATCTTTCTCATTCTGCATGGCAAATACTCAACTCAGTTTTCCCTGCTGTCTAGCAGAAAGGAAGGACAAATCAGTCTAACCTTCGCTCGACTCCTCGTCTTCCTCCTCTTCGTCTTCCTCCTCCTCCTCCTCCTCCTCCTCCTCCTCCTCCTCCTCCTCCTCCTCCTCCTCTTTGTCCTCAATCTCATGATTTTCCTCAGCCTCAATCTCTTCTTCACTCTTTCCCTTCAGGAGGGCATGAATACGCACAGCCTCTTTCCATGGCACACCACCCAAGTCTGAAGGGGGTTGCTGAGGCAGCAGTAGTTCGTCTTCTTCCTCCTCATCTTCCTCCTCCATCTCAGACTCTGAACTACTATAAGGGTTTAGAAAAAAAGATAAAGAAACAACTAGTTAATGTTTCCTAGATCAGTCTTAGGTCACTGACAAGTTGTTTCAATACATACAAGCCCAAAACATACGATGGAAACCATAATACTAATTTTCTGCTTTCAATATTTCATAGGCATTTTAGTGACAGCATCATGTGTGGACTGCAGTATGGTCCTTGCCCTGCTTCTTTTAGAGAAGGTGAAGCAGCAGAAAAGTGCCTGTGAAGCCAAGTCCAAATACTTGTGCAGCATTAATTGTTACAGTTAGTGACAGTTGAATACAGCAGAAAGAAACTGCTTTCTTCGGATCACGTTGCTTTGGATAAACCGGTGCAAGAGTTCTTAGCAGTGTCAGAATGTAGAAGGTCACGTCTTTCGATAATGGCAGCTACTGCCAGCATTTTGGATAGCTAAAATGTTTTTGGCACTTGCTGGGGTGAACCACAGAAGGCTTTGGGAGTAGAAAGAATACACAACGCAACTATCGGGCCAAAGGATACAGTATGTGAGCTAAGGAGAGCTGGAGAAAAAAAAAAAAAAAAACAAAATTCCTCACTTTTCTACATCACAGACAGAACTATAATATGTATCCAATTAAGTACACAGTGGCAAGAAACTGTGGGAAGCAGTGCAAGGATAATTACAATAATGAGCTTATTATTCTCACAGCAAAGTCTAAAACATGCAAAACAGTAAATCATTAGTGCTTTTTAGTAGACATCTGTTTAACAGTATACTGATCCTTAGTATAAGCAGCAGGGGCAAGAAATGTAACTGCCTATACAATGACATTTAATCTAGCTCAATCTTACATGCTGGACTATCTAGAGGTACTGAGGAGAAAGATGGTTGCATTTGGCACTGGAAAATGAATGTGAACTACAGCACATTCAGAGAACCTATCTGCAGGGTGAAAAGGTCCTCTTCATTTGTTTTTCCTTAATAGATCATTGTCATAAAAGAACTGCATTTATTAGAGCAACAGTTGGACGCTTCCCCTATAAATCTTAAAAGGCCCAAATTCATCTGGATTGAAGGAGAAAACTGTTTGTGAATGGTTAGAGTTTGGGTGAATCATCCGAGAACAATATTCTACTTCTGCTGCTTCCTTATGACAGCTATCACTGTAGTTAACAGCCTTCAGCAGAACCCATTCCATATAGACAACGAGAGAGAAAACCAACAAGTTGAAAATAATGAAGTTTAAATTTCAGGTAGGTCTATAAAAATATAACTTGTACAGTTGTTGTAATTCTGTTTCCCATACACAGGTTTTATTACAGTATATGACAAACTGACAGTGTAAAAAAAAAAAAATGGCAGCACTCTTATATTGCAGATAAACATATTCAGGTGCAGAACTTCAAATTAGTCTAACACTACACGAACATATCATATTTACATAATTTTATTCATCTACTTGTCTGAGAGACTATTTCTGATAGCAAAGCTAATAAGGAAAACACCACTTTTTTCATGCTCTGATTGTCACGTACTTCTGTCCATAGGCTCTTAAATTCTCCTCACTGTTCTGCATATATATAATATTATTTTGCTCAAACTACAACCCACTTTTTTCACAGCATAAACTGAATACTTATTTTTAACAGGTTGCCTGGTTTTCACATGCTAAATACTGAATACAAGCACTGTTGCATGCCATGGACTCGGTACATATTGCAGGAGACCAGAGCATATTCCAAAGGCTTCACGCAGACATGGTCAGAGAGATAAAAAGTGATGTTCCCCTCCTCCCTGATTAATTTTCCCACCATTTGGTATGGAAATAAACCTGACAGGTGCTGAATGCTGGGGTTTTTGCGTGCTGTCAATAAGGTTTACTGCTGCTCAAACTGTTGCCATGACTGCTGAATGGGACGAGCTGCTTGCTCTTCAACCAGCCGGCTTATCACATATAATATTGACGACATAAATTCTTTACCACATAGCTCACTTTACCTTCTTTGGCTTTTATTTATAACTTGGTTTTTGTTTGACCTTTGAATACCGAGAAATGAGAAGCTGAAAGATGGCAGTGAGATGGCCTGGTATAGTGGGCATTCCTTTCAGCATGGCAATTCTGTGCCACAGGAATTAATTCAGCAGCTGAAACTTTTTTTTTTCCCCTATAAAGCAGAGATCAAAGACCAAAGTAGGTTGCTTTATAGAATTTGTATAAGCAGTTGACTATCTCATTAAAAAGGTGTACCTACACAGATTTAGTGCTAAGGAGAGGAACCAAAACCTGAATTGTGGAAACGAAGCTCTTCTCTTCCCTTGTCATACAAGTCCATACAGCACAAGCTGTCCTATGACACTCCTTCGAAAGGCCACAGGGTATTATACCAAACTGCAGATGACATACTGGGAGTAACTGCAAGTTAAAGGGGATGAATAAGGCATCTAAAGGGTTTTCTGCCCCTCAAAAGCTGTGTAGTCAGGGTTTGGTTGCTTAAATGATCTTTTTTTCTTGTTGAAGCTTAAACAATATTAACTCTCTTTTGAAAAAACATACTTTGAATACTGTTTTCTGTAAATTTCCTCTGCAGTGTGCATGCTTCTAAGCATGTGCGTAATGGGAAGGTGTGCACCAAAATGTGTGGTCTCTGCTTGATTTAGAGTTAACACCTCACTGAACCTTGAAGGCCAATCCATTGCTCCGGAAGACACGGCGGGAACAAAAAGTTCCCCATCTCCTCCGCCTGCTCCTAACCCTGCAGCACTGCACCAAGACAGTGAAGATGATCAAATCAGGGCTTTGGTTGGCTTGTTGCAGGAGTCAAACTTTTTTTCTTTTGTTGCTGAAAAAGCAGACAAGACTTTTTCCCTTGTTTTTTTGGGGGGACTTTCTGTGACATATCATGGGGCGGGTAGAGCTGAACAGAGGATACCCAACAGCTGCATCATCTAGAAAATTCTCTCTCTGATGTTTGGCCCGCACAGCCTTATCAATGCTCTGAGTAAATTGCTTGTCATATTTGGATTTGAGACAGAATTTTTTCCAGGTCAAACTGACAGGGAATTTGATGTATTTTCTCTTTCCTTTCTATCATAGAGTGAGTTGCCCCCTAAACATGCTTTTCGCATGCAGAATTATACACTTCAGTCTATCACAGACAGAAACAGTCAGTTTAATACAGGTTAAGGGCAGCATGTAGGACAAAGGGAACTAAATGTAGCACCCTACCAGAGGAAATCAAACTCACTAACCTAATAGTGTACTGCCCTCAGTCTCCACAATCTCGCAAAACACCTCTTGGAGCTGACCAACAGCTTCATGTCAAAATGCCAGAACTCCACTTTTTTTAACTAACCCTTCTCCTCCTTTGGAAGTCTTCCGCCATTTACTGAGTGGGCCTACTCTGTCCTGATTTACTGAAATCAAGACCGATAATAATACTCCATACTAGTAAATTTTGTTTTAGAGCTAGAAACATAAAGGACTACAACCCCCTCAATATCATTAAAGCCTATACTGTCACAGTTGATATAATTCCTAGGCCTGAGCAGGGAGCTAAAGGAAGGATGAGTGAAGCAAACAGAGTTTGCATCTCCCACAAATAGTCCCGTGATCATTCAACCAGAGCACTAGATAAGATCTTAATTATGTAAAATGCCAAAATAGTATCTTCTAAAGAAATTGGTATGTTAAGAAATTAATCAAAAAGTATTATTTAGGTTTCAGAGAAAACAGCTGTACAAGACATTAGCAATTGCCAGGCACTTATATGAAAGGCACACCTTCATGAGTCCACATGTACACACTCTGTCAAGGCTGAGTTCAGGCTACTAAAAGTTACTCCCTTCCAGCTGCTGCATCTTCAAACTTATCAGATAAATAAATGACAGATTCTGTACTACATTAATCCTGTAAACATTTTAATGAACATTTTTATTCCTGCATTCTTCGCCACACCAATCCAATTCAATTTCACATGTATAAATGTAGTAAGGAATTTCTCATACAGCCCTATACCTGTAGGTAATGCATACATAGAATACGTTTGTAGGATCTAAGTCTCAGGAAATGAGTAACAGCATTTTCTGAGTTTATTTCAAGATGACTACTGGACACACTGACAGCTGAAAAGGAAGGGTTGTTATTGCTACAAAGAAAAGTAGATGATTAGAAACCATATTAAGAGATCGAGACTCTGCAAAAAGTGTGATTGACTATAAAGTTCACCAGCATTCTTCGTCACATATTTTCTCTCAATGATTCTTGCAACAACTATTTCCAGTAGCTCTACCTGCATGTATTTGGATCCTGATGTGCTTATACATCATTTTGCAGATAAAGGGAAATTTGTGAAGGTACAATATGTTTTTCAACAGCCATAACTATTACTTCAAATTAACATCTCTCAGGCATTGCATCAACATTCAGTCAGCATTACATGTGTGTCAAGCCTGAATCTTTAAACCAAAAGTGGTTTTGAATTGTAACACAAAACATATAGAAAAGAAGTTAACTTTGGAACCCCCTCCCATTTGAATCCATGTTCTGTTTGCTCAAAAGACTCATTTGTCTTTGATACAATTTAAAACAAATTTTTTTTAAAATGCTTTCCAACTTAGGACTGAATTTCATGGTATTATGGTACTATAGGTGTCTTCTAAGAATGGTAGTAAGCTATTTAGAAGAACAGATACTACAAGATAAAATACCTGTGTACATATGCAGAACATTTTCAACAACTTTAGAAAGGGCAGCCTGGTAAATAATATGTTAAAAAAAAACTAAGGGAAAAGCAGGCAAAAATCTGTTGGGATGGGTATAAAAAAAGCTTATGGACAATGTGTGCTAACCTGCTGGGCACATCCTCTTCTGTTCCTTTGTCCAACACACTGCTCAGGTTATGCTCTGCTAGCGTCTCTTCAGGAACCTCTTCCAGTTCTTCTTCCCGCTGCAGTGACAGTCGGTAGTTCTCCAGCTCAATCCGCTCAGGCGTGCCACGCAGCCGCTTAGCAAGGCTGGGCTCTT